ATAACAAATAAAGAAAAATTAAAAACGATCTCATCATGAAACATATTCATAGACAAACACGAAACATCGTAAGGGATCCAGAAATGAATACTTTATGAGGGAATGAGATAGTAGAAACAGCCGGAACGGTCCACAGCTAAAGAACAAAATAAAAGATTTTGTTTTTATTGTTATCCCAGTCGTTATAATCGTGTCCATAATCATCATTCCCATTTATTACAAAGGTTCTATGGAAACATCTATTAAATTCTTCTTTTTTCGTTACATATGCTCTAACTTCTTGGGATTGTAACGGTAGCTCTAAATTTAGATTTAAATTTTTTCGTAATTTCCTTATGAAGTTAGAAACGTTGGTACTTAATAAGTAGTGATGTGGATTGTAAAATAACGATTTGTAAGTTACATAAAAAACGGTTATATTACGCGTAACTTACAAGAGGTCGGTTTTTTATGTAATTTATGTCTTTTATGAAATTTACGTAACTTACGTTTTTTATGTAAAAAACCGTAATTTTTGTAAGTTACAATACGTATTTGATACATTTTGATCGGTACTACCACAGACCATCAACGGTACTACCAACGTAAACGATTCACCGTTGAATCTAGTTTGATTTAATGGAGATGATACAGCATCTAATTCGCGATCTGGAACTTCTTCCTCCAAACGACGCGTGATGGCGAAATACCTACTGCTTGGGTATTTTATTTAATACACCAAAATGTATCATTTAACAAGTGTTTTTGTTTTCAAACACTCACAAAATTCAAAAAGGTTTATGGAATATTAAAAAAAACGTAGAAAACATAAATGACAGGTAATTTTACAAAAATATTTGTAAATTACATAAAAAACATAAATTACTGGTAATTTTACTGTAAAATTACGGTTTTTTTTAATAAATGGTAAGTTACATAAATTACATAAAAAACATAAACAATTGGTAATTTTACACGTAATATTACGCACTTTAAAAAAAACGTGTAATTTAACATCACTATTAATAAGAGTAGAACAATTTGAGCATTGCATATTAGCGGGTGAAATTGGTTTTCCAAATAAATGATATCTTTCATAAATTATGTCTATCAGACAATTTTCCAGTTTCCAGGAAATTTCTCCGATAGGTATTCGTGCATGATTAGGTGTTGTGCGCGGGTGCACCATCCTGTTGAAACCAACCGTTTCCAACTTTGTTTTTTTTGTGTGCCGTATATAGTTTCGTAATTAAAAAAAAATGCTATGTACTTTACGGGCCATAGCAAAAAAAAAAAATTGATAATTTCTTCGAAACGAGACGTGAGAAAGTGATTTGTATTTTTTTGTATCTCATCAAATGCCATTAAAAAAATTAAAACAATTGTCAAATTTCGGTTTTTTCCGCCATAGCTTCGGAAGTAATCGGAATTTTCTGGTTCTCTTTACGGCGTGATAATTACTCTTTAATTGCACAACTTTTTCCCTACTTGACTATCTTCGTATCCTTATCTTGGACATAGTGTATTTAGCTCGGTATTTAGTTAACAGCTCTGGTTGTTCGTAGTCGGTAAAAATCATCCTAATTGTATATCAGAAAAAAATCAATAAGGAACATTAAAGTGCAAATTTTGACGTAGGGATGCTTGTGATCGAGCTTGTGATAATCTAGCCAAGTGTTTCCAACTTTTTTGGTCAAGTCCGCTAACGCCAAACAGAGGATATTCTGCTCTTTTATCAGTTACGGCATCCTCTTCTATTTAAGTAATTGGGCATCCTCCTATTTTGGGAAGGTGAAATTGATTTCTTTTACCGATTTTTGTTAATGTAGTTCTGGACACTTGCGAACATTTTGGATATTCATCTTTTAGTGTTGAAAACACTTATAGGATGCTTGTTTCTAAGTTTATATGTAACCTCGTATGTAACGTTGCCCCCATTACCCTACAGTACTGCTTCTCTCACCGTTGCGGAGCTTCCAATGGTGAGCCACGAATTTGAACCACCCTGTACAGTGTACCTACACCTATCATGTTTTTGGAAACTTGGCGCTTGCTCGACCAGATGGCAAAAAAAATTCGGTGAGATTGCGGTAGGACTACGGGGATTGCGGCGTGACTTCGGCAGGATTGCGCGAATTTGACCTGATTGCGGAGAATTTCGGCGAGACAAAACATACACCGAATTCGGCAGGATTGCCGAGATTTTGGCGAGATTTCTGGAAATCTCCTCCCCTCCCTCCATGCATACATACAGACGCAAAAAATTTGATTCTTTTGAAGTTGCCTAATAGTACATTATACCTATATCAAGGTAGAGAAGTACAGTATTATTGCCTGAGCACCAAGATTACATCTCGAGGCGAGGGGTGTAAGGTGCGAATTAACTCAAGCTAGGAAGCTATAACCAAAACGAAATACGCACTTATTAGACGATCAAACTAACTTACCTGTGAAGTTCGATCGTAATTATATGAGACATCCAATCCGAAGACATTGTATAGAATACCATGTAGTTCGCTTGCTCGAACTCATATCACGAGTATTTAAAGAAAGGTTTCACAAAAAGGAAACAAAAATAGAAGTTCGACCCTGCCGCCGAGCCGCCACTGAGTTAACCTTGCGTTTCGTTCCTCGCGCCAGGCGTCAGGTGATTCATTCCGTTTAAAGATTAATAGTGATGCTGAAAAACCTAGGGCCTGGGAGGGTGGGTTTTGAATGTCTTCGGATTGGATGTCTCATATAATTACGATCGAACTTCACAGGTAAGTTAGTTTGATCGTCTAATTATATTTCGACATCCAATCCGAAGACATTGTATAGAATACCATGTAGTTGTTTAAAGATGCTTTGTTTTTCAGCATTCAACTAAAAATTCCACACAAAGAAATAATGCACATTTAATCCCCCTTAATATAAAAGAAATGTTACGTCTACTTAGAACTAAGAATGGTTGTCGCAAAAGTATTTGATTGTGATAGTGGTCGATTGTAAAAATTACAGAACACTTTTGAATTTTCTGTCCAGCCCGCAGTTTGTTGAATTACTTCTATTGGTACTCCTAACTGCCAAGCTTTAGATGTTGAGGCATGGCGTGTAGAATGGGCTTTGAAAATGAGAGTGTTCACACCCGCTGCATCTAAAGTGTCTTTCACCCATCTACTTAAAGTTTGCCTGCTGGCAGTTCTGTGTGGCTTCTTAAAAGTAATAAATAAAACGTCCATATTCGATGTGCGATGTTCTTTTGTGGCCGCTAAATACCTCTTCAAAGTTGTCGCAACACAGAGTCTGGGGTTTTCGACGAAGAAGGGCAAGTTTAAGCAAGGTTGCTTTCTTCCTGGGCCTGAAGTCTTAATTTGGTCCTCGATCAAAATTTGGAATCCAGTACTTGATTCTAAAATATTACGTAGGCGTATCAGCGAAAACGTTTGCATCCTGTGTGCGGTGGAGAGAGCTAATAAGGTGATTAGCTTCTCTGACAAAGCTTGAAGCGTGGATGACTCTCTCTGTTCTAAAAAATTTAGAACTAATTGCGGATCCCAGGTGACATTGTATCTCGGTTTTTGAGGCCGAAGCTTAGATATCCCTTTCAAAAACCGAGACAAAACGGGATGGCCCGCTAAGTCCGTTGACAAAATCAGAGCCAAGGCGGAGCGGTGTGAATTAAATGACCCGTAAGAATTTTTCCCTATGTCAAACAGGTGTTGTAAAAAATCCATTACGAGAGCTGGAGTCCCATCATACGGAGAGATACTTTTCTTCTCACAGAAAGGCCACCAGAGCTTGTATGTTACTCCATACTGCCGAATTGTTGCCGCTGATAAGGAACTGAGAATTGTTTGAACAACTTTCGCTGGTAAGTGTTTTAATTTGAACGCTTCCCTGATAGCTTCGCTGCTAGAAGTGTAAGCCTGTCCGCCAGTGGGTGTGGATCGGTGCTGTAAGGATTAAACAAAGAAAATTTAGTAGGTTTAAAAAAGATAGGTCCTTCAATAATTAAATTAGAAAAAAGTGGGAACCAAGCTTGGTTTTGCCATTTAGGGACTATAACGATCCCTTCCGCCTCATCATCTACTATTTTTTGTAAGACTCTTAAAATTAAAGCAAAGGGTGGGAAGGCGTAGAAAAACATTTTTTCCCACGAAAAAGTAAAACTGTCAATCTTAAAAGCAAAAGGGTCTTTCTGCCAGGAGACATACCGATCACATTTGTTATTAACTCTGGAGGCAAATAAATCTATTTCTGGCACTCCAAACTGGCGAGTTACCAAATCGAATGCCTCCTTAGAGAGACTCCATTCCGTTTCAGGGGGTAAGCTTCTAGATTCTCGGTCCGCAATCCAATTATCCGAAGAACTAATGTAGGAGGCGAGAATCCACAAGTTGCGTACCTCGCACCAATCCCAAATTTCCCTTGCAAGAGCCGAAAACTTTGGGTGATGGACACTACCCATTTTATTTACATAGGACAAAGCAGTAGTGTTGTCGCATCTTATTAATATGTTACAATTGGTGGCCGAAGAAGCAAAGCTTTTAAGGCCCAAAAAAAAATTGCCAAAAGTTCTAAATAATTAATATGTCTTATTCTTTCCTCTGGGCTCCACCACCCTCGAATCTTATCTGACCCACAGCACGCGCCCCACCCTGTAAGCGAAGCATCAGTAAAAATTTCGAGAACGAACTGATCTTTTCTAATATCATTATATGAGGAATCAATTGAATTGATCCACCACGAAAAATCCTGTTGCAAATCCATATGCAGTACCATTAGACCTGAAAAATCCCCATTAATTTTTGCTAGTGCTAGACACTTGTGGCGTTCAAAGAGCTTAACATGAGCCCACCCGTACTTGACGCCTTGGCAAACAGAGACCAGGTATCCTATATACTGCGCCAGATCACGAATTTTGCATTGAGACTTAGACCGGAGAGTTTTACTCCAAATCTTTATTTTTTCCCTCTTTTCTGCAGGTAAAGAGATTTTCAATAGTTCTGAGTCTAATAAAAACCCCAGAAATCTAATGGTTTGACTGGGGTTCAAATGACTTTTCATAACGTTTATAGAAAACCCTAAAGACTTCAAAAAATTTACGGTTACCTTAGTGTCATGTAAGGAGCCTTCATACGAAGAATTGAATAACAGAAAGTCATCCAGATAACACACACAAATAATGTTTTTAGATCGAAGCCATTGTGTAACAGGTCTCCAATTAGTTTTGTGAACACATAAGGGGCGAAGCCAACCCAAAAGGGCACAACATGCAAAATTCCATACCAGATCCTCAAGAATTTTCTAAATTTTGGGTCAATGGCTATAATGGAAGTAGGCATCTTTAATATCAATAGTTGTGACCAACACCCTTTTTTTGACAAGCCTTAAGGCCGTTTGAATGTCTTCCCATTTTAAAAATGAGATGGTTTGTAAAGGAATTAAGATGTGTTTAAAATTAAGTATGAATCGTTTACCCCATCAGATTTATCAGACCAAAAAAGATATTAGAAATAAAATGCCCTGGACAAGGACTGCACTTGCTATCGCATTTAAATTGAGTAAAGACTTAATTGCCGTCATGCATAGCCGTGGTCTTTAAGTCGTTCCCAGGTCTTTGTTGGGGGTACTTGCTCTAGACTAGGTGGAACTACATAAATTGGCAGCCATAGCCTTTAATCCATTTCAGTAATTAGGATTTGAAAGTAATCAAAACACCATTTGTTCATAAAAAGTGAGAGCCTACCACCAATTGGGCTTACCTGCTCTATCGTCTGGTATTTCCCCTGCTTCTGATGGACTGGCTGGCTCTCGGAATGATCTCGACTGTCCCTTTTGACCGAGTCGGGCCGTAACGGTTAAGACGCTGGTCTTTCGCTGATGTGACACACAGCCTTCAAACGAATTCGCCCAGAGTTCTACCACCTCTGTATGAAGCTGAGAATTGCAAAGGAGTAGCCGCCTTTAATTCCTTTCCTGGCGTTCTGTAGCGACTTAGCTTCCCTACGCTCTCTGAAACATCTTGATGCCACAGAAAAGGATCTCCTGGTTTAGTTCTCCCTAGAACCTCCCTAATGTTTTTGTAAGGGTTGGTAAAATCAAATTACGCCTAGAGTCAGAGATGTCGTGAAGAGGTGTGCGCCAGTAAGACGACTAGCATCACCCAAAGGGGCTACACTTTCATCACGTAACTTTTTTGGAATAGGATTGTCATTCAGCAAA